GGGGCAGCAAACTCAGCCCAGGGTATAGGGGGGAAAGGAGGTGAGTAAAACATTGCTCACAGCCATGCATTCTGATATTGGCTAGTTAGCAACACTGAGGGATGGGGTGTGGGGCTCTTATTTATTCCTCTTTAGCAAGGGCCATAACACAAGACCACAAAGCACTGGAGGGGAATACTAGATTGTGAGAGAAAGGTACAGTTACATCCACAGGCTTTTAAGGTCACAGGCTGATGAGCCACAGAATGAGACAACAGTTTGTACTTTCTCAGTGGATTCTGTTAAATCCCAAATAGCCAAATAAACCTGGGAGACAACGTGAGTAAGGGTATGTCTACACTAGCCCCCTAGTTCGAACCAGGGAGGCTAATGTAGGCATTCGAAGTTGCAAATGAAGCCCGGGATTTAAATATCCCGGGTTATATTTGCATGTTCCCGTCTGGTCGCCACTTTTAAATTCCACTAGTCCGAAGTAACTGCCCGCGGCTACATGCGGCAGTGAAATAGTAATTCGAACAAAGTCCTTAGTTCGAATTAACTGTTACACCTCATTCTAACAGAGGCAGCAGCACAGGGTGCCAGGTAGGAGATGATCTGTGAAGGGAGCCAGTTTAAAAATCACCTCCCCTCACGGACTGGCTGCCTGTTGTCCCACATTGCTGCCTCTGATACTGGAACTGAGCTAGGCTGCCAACCTGGCTCCTAATACACTTTAAATGCAGAGCCGCAATGGGGGTAGGTCCCAGACTTGGTGCGAGCCAGGACTGAACTGGACTGCTGGCCAGCCTGCTAAAAAATTTACTGGCAATAGAGTGGGGGGGAAATACGCGTAGTCCAGAGCTATTCAATTTTGGAAGCTCCAGGGGCCACAATGATACTTACAGCACTGCAATTTAAGTGTGGTTGCATGTACATGCAAATATATGCAAATAGCTTTTCACACTGATGGCATGAATACAAAGATTAAGGCAAAGCTACACAACACCTGGGAGACAGGTGTAAAGTCAGTTTTGCTGATATTAAACAAATGTAATATTTACCCAATTTCTACCCATATGACAGCATTTTTAATGAGCAATGACAGTCCAGGAATTTAACTACTAAAATGCGTATCAACAGAAGACCATTATATTGACTACTTTTTTGTTTTGGCTTCCATCTGTGGGCTGCGTGTTGAGCCCCACATAAACCCAAGCTGCACCGCAGGCTGCAAACGAACGGATCATGGGCCGCATGTTGAATAGTCCTGGTGCAGTCTATAGAATTAATCTATAAGCTTTTGCTTATCGGTTAATCGACAACACCAGGGGTGCACAACCCGTGGCCCAGACCCCAGCTGCCCAGATCTAAGCACCGTGTGGCCGCTAACAGCCAGGCCCAGCCCCCAGCCACCTGGATCTAAGTGCCACATGGCCGCCAACAGCTGGGCCCAGCCGTGGGGGTCGTGGTTGCAAAAAGGTTGCACAACACTGGACTACACTATTACATCCGTATCCGGGACTTACCCCTGCTGTGGCTCTGCATTTAAAGTGTATTTTGAGCTGGGTGGAAAGGCAGCCTGACTCAGTTTTAGCTCGCACAAGGTCTGAGAGTTCAGACCCGCCCCAGACAGGGGCTGCTGCCACCCCGCATTGCTGTCTCTGTGTCCAAGGTAGCAGCATGGGGCAGCAGGTAGCCGTTCTGTGCAGGGAACTGGTTTTTAAAATGGCTCCCCTCACAAACTGGCTCCCCCCCGCTCACCCTGCGGGAGGTGGCAGGGGACTCCTCGGAAGTGGGGCCAGATTGCACTGGCTGCCGGCTCCACCCTCGGGGACTACAGAATAGTTGACTAACCGATAAGAATTCATGAGGTTACTCAACTATTCAATTAACCAATGTTTAACATCCCTAATATCCCCAGACATCTCCATGTAAAAGCTAGCAAATTCCCAACACAGGCTTCTGGCAAAGGCCTCCAGATAGAAATTTTCATGCTAGTTTCAAGAAACATGCTAAAAATTCCAAGTCTGAGTAGCTGAAGCATTTGTCTCTTCTGTGCTTTCAGCGATCATGCACACTCAACACGTGCGCGCGCACACACACACACACACACACAGAGTTTGGCAGTGGTTGCGTTCCAGAGCTGGTAATACAAGCTATGAAGCAGGCTGCCAAGACAAGCAAAAGAATGAGCCAGGCCCCATTTCATTGGCCCACCATACACTGCATATGGCCCTGGAACCAGCCAAGAGAGTGTTCTCACCCTCCTTGAAGGCATAGGAGGGCCTGTGTTTTCAAATACACCTCCACAGGGCCTTCATTAAAAGCAAAATGGAAACATAATGTGTGTGTGTCTCTCAATATTTCTCCCTTTCCCCCAATTTGCTCTCAAAGCTATTTCCCTAACATTGAAACAGAATAATGCCTTCTGGAAAGAAAAAGCACAAAAGAATGTGACTTTCATTCAGTTCTATGTCTGGCTACTAAAATGGACTTGGGACTGAATGAGCAGAAGGAATCTCCAGGGGCTCCCTTTCCAGGGCACAGAGAGCAAGTAGGAGGAAGCACACTCATGAGGTAGCAGAACACATTGCAACCCTCCCTGTAACAAAACCAAAGTGGGCCTCCCAGAATTCAGATTTTCTTATTCTTAACCCACACAGCAAGCATTTAACATTCACTGTGTGGACAGGTGAACTAGAAAACAAAATCTGAGGAAGTAATAAAACCCACTATGGCACCAATCAGAAATGAGTTGTTACCGGAACCCATTAAAGCCAGGCATTAAAAACATAACGCTAGGGCAAAATACAGTGTTTGTTAACCTTGATTCCACTCTCTATGCATTTGTAGGTCTCATTTGGGTACACCTACATTGCACTAAAAAAAGCATCAAGTCTCAGAGCCTAGGTTAACTGACTTTGGTTACAGGCCTAAAAACTGCAGCACAGACATTTGGGCTCAAACTGTAACCTGGGCTCTGAAACCCAACCCCGGGCAGGGTTTCAGATCCTGTGCTCCAATCCAATCCTGAACATCTCCACTGCAATTTTTAGCCTCTCCCGCCCCTTCCCCTCAGCCTGAGCTGGAACTCTGTCATGGGTCCAGTGTAGGCATGTTGTTTATGCCTTTGTGATGTGCCCATCTGTGCAGCATCTAGGTGTCCAGGACATCAGTGAGAGTTTCTTGTACAGGGAACAGAATGTCAGTCAAAATTCAGGTGCATTGAAGAGGAAAATGCTGCAGGTAAACACAGTACACAGCAGGCTCTGAAGCCAACCCTCACGAGGCTTCTATCTTTGTGTTTTAAGGTCTGTTAGCCTTAGCCCTATCCTATCAGCCCACTCTCCTTAACCTATCAGAAGCTGTGCCGACACCGAAACATGCATAAAATCCTAGCACCTAATGCTGCAGGATATAGGTGATGGAACTAGGGGTGCTGTTGCACCCCTAGCTTGCAGTTATTTATATCCTATTCTGGGTTTACATTTTGGTTCAATGGCTCTCAGAACCTCAACTGTGCAAATTGTTCCAGCACCCATAGCTTGGGCCTCACCTCCCCCATCCATCCCTTTCCTTTTGTTGTTTCCCTTCACTTGCCCAGCTGGACTGTAGGCTGCTGAGACCAGGGCCTTGTAAAGCCCCCACACTGTTGGCTTCTCAGAATTAAAAGTGATCAGTACCTGGCACTAGGCCCTACACACTTCAGAGCGTCTTCACACCAACCAATGTGGGATAGAGATAGGGGCCACACTTTGCCTCAAGCTTCCCTTCCACAAGGGACAGCCTGCCCTCCCTGACCAGCAGCCCCAGGGTGCAGTCATGGGTGGTAGCACAGAGGTGAGAAGTGGCTGGACATGGCACAGCAGCTCCCAGGGCCAGCACACATTCCGAGAGCATGGCAGGCAGGCAAGGCAGTCCCTGGGGTCATTAGGGGGACACGCAGGCGCCCTGCTCTGGCCGCGGGGAGGGATGCAGGCAGTCACCAGCCCATGCCAGTGACAAGAAGACCCTGGACCCCTGAGCGCCCCCTGCATGTGCGTGAGAGGAACGGGCAGGACGGGGGCTGCAAGGCAGATCCCAGAGCACAGCACAGTCCGGGGGGCAACAGGCAGTAACGTCCCCTCCGGTCGCCGCGCAGAGGATGGGGGGAGAGGCCCAGAGCCCCCCAGGCTCCCGTGACCCAGGCCGGTGCAGGTTCCGGGCCTGGCTTTGCAGCTAGCCTGTTTCTTTCCCGAATCCCGGCCCGGCCCAGCTGCTACACCGGGAGGTTTTCCCAACCCATCGCCCCGTCTCGAGAGTCGGCCCCCT